GCTTTTCGTTTCGCTAAATTGCGGCAGCGTTCATTTCTCCAAACGTATCAGTCCCCTGTTAACGGCGGAAGGTATGCTGAAATATGCCACTAGTACTTTCCTGTTTGTTGATATGGCTTTTCGTTTCGCTAAATTGCGGTAGCGTTCATTTCTCTAAACTTAAGGTCCCCTGTTAACGGCGGAAGGTATGCTGAAATATGCCACTAGTACTTTCTTGTTTGTTGATATGGCTTTTCGTTTCGCTAAATTGCGACGGCGTCCATTTTTTCGGTAGCGTTCGTTTTTTCGGTAGCGTTCTTTTTTTCGGTAGTGTTCATTTTTTTGGCAGCGTCCATTTTTCAATTAGACCAATAATTTCTTGTTTAAGTGCCGTTGTACGTTTTCACTAGTTACTGTTGTGTTTTAACAGATTATAACGAAAACAGTAAGAAATCTTATGATGAGCGATCGTGGATCAGGGCATCACAAAGAAGAGCTGTAGAGATTGGCAAATCGTCGAGAGAAGTCGAAAGAAGCATTGAACAGGAAGTGCATTTGACCAGAAGACTGCACTAACATTCGCTCTAAATCAAGATTGCTGAAAGGCCACGTGAGATAAGGGAGGAGCATCTTCATAAAATGCTGATATTTCATCTGGTACATAATTAATATCGTGCAGCATTGGACGTATATACAGAGCGTCCCAAATAATGTCACCGCGTGAGGAAAGTGAGAATTAAACAACTTTTTATGGAAATACAGCGGATATTACAGATGAAATAAAAAGTTAACAATGCTGGCTATAGCATTTCGTTCCAATTTAGCTGCTATCCACTTATATGAATGACGGTGTAATAAACTTTTAACAATTGGAAACGATCAAATCTCAAGTGTATTAAAACGAAATGACTGTAAAGTCAGTTCTCCGTGGCAAACATTTATTCGCTATTACTGAAATGTGGATTTGAATTTATGCTTTATCATGGTTGCTGGGCAGTTCGCAGCTGAACAACCTAGCCTCGTGGTGCTGGAGTCCTAGAAGATAAGAATTAAGTCCACTGTGGCTTGTCTAACGTTGTCAAAACAGTTGCTATACTTGACACAAGCTACTAGCTTAAATCGGAATGCTGGACTTTCTGTATGAGAGCAAGCATCGTAAAAAAACATCACCAAAGTACGACAATCCTTTCAACAAAATCCAAGAGTCAGTGCTTTGGCGTAATCCAACAAAAATGTCAAAGTCCCACGTGATCCAGCACGACGTGTAGCATTTTGCACATGGCTCAGTTGTGCAAGGAGATGCTCACTTCTGGCCTAACCTTGTCATCGGCGATGAAGCATCATTAAAGCCTGATTCTCATATGTCACCGACGGTCGGCGATGTATTGTTTGTGGTCTTTAACGAAGAAGATTCAGCATACAAAATAACAAAGATTCAATATGAGAATCAGGCTTAATGAATGAACGTGTGTTATCGCAACTTGGCGTGGAAATCCAAATCAACTGATGGTAAAAGTGAGTTATATAATTGCTTTACTAACAGGTAATCAGATATTTATGAAAGCGGGGATTCTTGTCTCATGCATGTCCCAAATACTTTTAGCCGGGGTGAATTTTATCCATGAATGAACAGCAGTTCGATATTTCATTAACAGTAGAGGAATATGTTCGTCCTAGTCTCGTCGATGTTCTTTTACGAACAATGATAGTTGATATTTCACTGTACGATTGTACTTTTCCACCATTCTATCTGATTCAGGGTGTAATGGAGTTGTCCTAGTTTTTACGATCTCCAATACTTACACATTTCTTTAAACAGAGCGGATTCAAAATTAGTTTCCTGGTCGGAATTTAGGTATAGCATTTGGTAGCTATATTAAATCTACAGAAGAAGTTGTCGCGTCCAGCCGCAAACGATGTCTTTTCAAAAAGAAATACAATAAACTCCCCCGCCCCCCATAGTTTGCTTCGAACATGCGCAGATATTAATTAACGCCTACATGTGCCTAACATACATTCACAACAGGGCCGGATTAACCTTTTGCGGGGCCCGTGGCATTTCTTTAGCGCAGGGCTCCTCAATTGCGTAAAGCATGCATCAAAGCGTTTTCTCAGGGTCGCCCAGAGAATTTTGAGGACCTGGGGCAAAATTCTCGTTCGGGGACCAAAATGCCGCTTTTCTGCCGTTCACTTCTTCACTAGAACTGGGAGAGTGTTTCGCATTGATATTCTTTTTGCCTGCACCACTTTTCTCTGAGCCGTTGCATTACAATAAGTTGAGTAACACAAGTGAGAATTAGATTTTTATTAATTAATAAGATATATATTCTACCGTAGTTGTAAGTGCACGTGCTTTGAACAAGATTAATTCAGAATGTGTACAGCCTGACTACATTCTATCGTATTGATAAGTTTCTAAAAGTTTAAAGTATATTGGGTAGTGAGTGCATGATTAAAATATAATAGATATATATTGAATAGTCATGCATGTTCAAATGATGAAGAAAGACTATCATAGTTCATTGCAGTCAAAACAACTCTAAGAGTGAACATATGTTTTAATCTAATATATTAAATACATGCATGCATATAATGATATCTAAATATGATATATATGAGGGATACACTGTGTGCAAACTATTTAAAACACTTTGCTAATATATAAACATAGTTTCTCGTAACTCAAGTGCAGATGATATAAAAGTCTTGACGCATATCCAGAGCAGCCTGGCAATTTTCAAACGGACATTTCACACGATCTAGCTGTGTTCCGCAATATGCACAATCATGTAGCCCCGACACACATCCAGAGGAAGAAACGTTAAATCCAGCTCGTTCCACGATCGATCCAGGCAAAATAACCCTGTCATAAGTTGTTGCGTTATATTTCCAAGAACACGCATCCAATTTCGTAGAAATTTGTCTTGACGCGTAAGGTTGGCGTGAATAACTTTTGCAGAACATTTTGTATTCTTGACACCAATTTTCAGTTTTTGATTGTTTGTGTAAAGGGATTTTGACTTGAGCGACCAAAAATGACGCCTCAAGCCAGACATTCCGTACCTGTTGGGTTTCAAAATTCGTCTTCACTTCTTCATCCAATGAAGCACATATTGCGTAGAATACTCTGCGCTGATTGGCTAAACACGATTCACAATGTGGCGTCTTGAAAACTCTGCTACAATTCTGAGAGCTGCATGCTCGTAGAGAATAAATATCATTTTTAGTCGCGTTCTGAAAACCAGCAAGATGGACAACATTTAGCAAGGAGAGAGTGCTGGATCTCTCTAGATCATAAATACTGGAGTACTCTATACTGCATTCACGATGTGATTGGTCAGTTAAAGGCCTCAGGTTATGCGCATGGCATAACCGTTCGTAGTCACGACACCAGCTTTCAAATCTCGATAAACGGTGCTCTGGAATGCGGACTTTCACGACTGCATACATCGTGTCATTTGAAATCACTGTCTTGTTTTCAAGGACATAGAAGTTTGAAGTGGGAGTGTTCTCAACACACAGTCCGTGAATCTTCTGAGATTCGCTGTTGAGGCAAAGCAATGAATCACTGCAGTTGTATGAAAACGGGCTACTTTGACAGCTTTCCTGCGAGCAATCTTTGAATGCAAATGTGTTTCCATATGCAGCCTCGTTGTAGCCTGTCTGCTGAGCAATGTGATGTATCACATCAAATTCAGATTTCTGTATAACAGCATCGTGCTCATCACGACATTGAAGAAGAGATTCGGTTACCACACCAGAGTGAAGAGCAACAGGACTTTGCCCAATAGCATGACAGAGCTCCGTATAATCCCGACACCACGTCGACGATCTACGCTCGGGTTGTAACGCTGATACGACTGTGTAGACATCGCCAGAGATGGAGATTTTCTGTGAATCCATTATTTTGAAATTTAACGTTTCGTCTGTGCAAATTGCGTAGACATAATCAGTAGGGTTTGAATTAACACAGGATAATGATGCATCACACCCAGATGATGCCAGCTCTTTTGAACAACTCTCACAATTGTTTAAGATGAACGTGTTGCTTTGGTCTGCCTTAGAGTATCCAGCCTGTAAGGCGATATTTGAGATGGTTTTTGTATCACACGAAAACTTGAAGTCTTCAGCAGCATATTTTCTGGTGCATTCTTGATAGTTGTTTTGACAGGCTAAAGGTCTTTTATTGTAGCTTTTACATAAGTCTTTATACTCTTGACACCAGGAAACCGACTTTGCGCGGCCGTCTTTAGGCAGTTTGGCTTCGATGATTAAATAGTTAGTGGAGTTAAGAACAGTAACTTTTGTACTGCGGACGTTGAACGCCGTCGTTGGTTTAACACACACTGTGTATACTTGTCGTCGCCAAGCTATTTTGGTCAGGCAGTTCAAAGCACCATTGCATTCGCTGGTTAGATCCTTTGTACACTGATGACAGTTCTGGAAAACAAAGGTGTTTCTTGATATCGCATCTTTAAATCCTGCCTTGTTTGCGATGCCGATGACGACCGTCGTATCTCCACAACGAAGAATATCGTTTTCTGGCATATAAGAGCTGTATTGTGTACTACAGGATGAATAATTTGAGTGCTCGGCATTAGATCCTCCACAACTGGTCGGCAGCATATTATAGCTTACACAAAGTTCTCTGTAATCGTGACACCATGGTCGTATTTAGTGTTTTTGAAAATGTTTTGAAAACATTTTTTATTAAAATGTTTTGTTTATTTTGTTTTAGTATACGCCGTTTTCCTGCGGACTCGACCATGGTCGAATAAGCTGTTTTCCGGCGCACTCGACTATGATCGAGTAAGCCATTTTTCGGCACATTGAACCATGGCCGAACGCCGCTTTCCGGCGGACTCGACCGCGGTCGAATAAGCCGTTTTCCGACCGACTCGACCATGGTCGATATAAAACGCGCTTGTTTTTGGGTTAAAATTTTGCTCCGACAATTTTGGGTATTTTGATGGTAGATAGCGTTCCAGCTGTTTTGAGTTCAACGGTCCGAACACGACAAGTCTTTTTGGCAGGGGGGAGTGAGAACTCTAAAGTCTAAACGAAACAAAATGTCTGCCGAAAACAGGCTTTTGTCAAAGTTTAGTGTTCTTCCTGTGGACAAATTCGAGGGAGAATGTCCTTATTTCCGACAACCGAAGCAAGTGGGTTGCTTCTCTTTAGACGAGCAACGAAGATTTCTGGACAACGACAGTCGGCTAAGGTATTACAACCCACCAGAATTTGTGAACTTTGATCTAGGAGTGGGATATGAGGATTTTATACGCAGAGACGAAGATAAGAAAGATAGACTGGATGACATGTTAACGTGGGTTAAAAAGCACCCTGAGAAGTTTGCATTGAGTGGAAATACCTCGAAAAACGACGGCAGGTATAAAAGACTTGCTATATTAAAATTATTAAAGTGACAAAAGTTGATGAAAATTGTAAAGGCAGTCTCGTATAATTGTATCAGTTTTCGTCAACTTTAGTCTTTAGACTGGGGGTATAGACCTTTCTTATAATGACGTCAAACGCGGAAAGTCTGATGTTACACGAAATTTGACTGGCTCCTCAAAACTATCGGGCCAATCAAACTTTGTGTAACATCACAGAGTTTCAGCGTTTGAGGTCATTATGAAAAAGATCTATTCTGTTAATACCATGTTACGTAACCCATAAGTTAGTATACTCTCACTTCTCAATTAGTCTGCATACAGATTTTATCACATGGAGAGGACACATGACCAAGCTCCTGTGTACCCCTTATGAGAGAAAGGAACCATGGCAAATGGCTCTGGCCTTGCACAAAGGCACAATTTATATGAGCGAAGTTGAAACGAACGAAGCACGCCATCGTAGGCTGGACCAATCGGAACGTCAGGACAAAATGTGTTACTGGGGTTACAAGTTTGAGGATTACGTCACTTGTTCCAGGGAGCCATCAAAACCGAAGGAATTTAGCTCGCCCATAAACAACATTGAAGCATTCTGTTCGGTTGTGAGATCACGGTTGGATAAACACTCTTTGGTCTTTGGAGCCGAGGTTGACTGTTGTGTCAAAACTAATTCTAAAGGTGGGATGCCACCATCTAATTATATTGAATTGAAAACAAGCAGGATTGTTGAGAACGACCGGATGCAGTGGTCATTTGAACGATACAAGCTTTTGAAATGGTGGGCACAGTCTTTTTTAGCCGGCATTCCTAAAATCGTTTGCGGATTTCGTGATGACGATGGCTTTGTTAAGCAGCTCAAGACATTCAATACGCTAGACATTCCAGGATCGGTTGCGGAAAGTCAGAACATGTGGGCAGGTAGCGTGTGTTTGAATTTTTGTAATCGGATGTTGGAATGGGTGAAAGGTGCCGTAAAAGATGAGAATGTTGTGTACATGTTACATTGGAGAGAACCATTCACGCACATAGAACTGGAGTTGTCAAAGAAACAAGATGACATCTTTCTACGGGACTGGTATCTCTCATGAAGAATCTACCCTCATGTATATATATTTGAGACCAGAATTTTTTAAGGTTACGAATTTTAAGATATTTATAATGAATATAATGATAGTGACAGTGTTTTGTGTCAATAAATTATTCTTAATATAATTGGGAAATTAGATTACACCTGTAAATATTTGTCATTCAAAATGTAAACATATTTAATCATTCTGTATTCATGTACACTCTTAAATTTTGTTCCCATCGTTTGTCTTTCTCTTGTTTTTGAATAAGATTTCTCTTCCAGGTTCTTCGGGGGGCTCTCAACCCTGTGCTTGCCCCCGCATCCTTTTTCCCTTTCACAGCGCTCGTATCTCTTGCTGAGAAATGAGTGATCTGTTTTTTGCTTTTCTTTGTTTTTGCTGCCTAAGCCCTGGCGATCTTGCTTCAAAATTGTTTTCACAGGAAACTTACGGCCAGCTCCTTCCGGGCCAAGACCTTAAATGAATGTTGGAAACAACAACAAAACAGTAAGTGTTAATTTCTGCTAAATTTAAGATGAAAAAGGGGGAAAATGTCCTCTTACGCACAGCTAGTGGACTGATTAAAGTATTAAGACTAATATTTTCAACCTTGTTCTTTATCCCATCCCTTCTGTTTCATCAATTTGAATCCAATGTTAGTTTCAGGAATGTGATAGAGTGTTCGTTCTGACTTGTATTGGCAGTTAAACAAATGAGCTGTTGATGTATTGTGCTCATTCTTCGAGCCAAAGAAAGTGGTTGCACAAATGTCACAGGTATGTTCAGTGGAAGTTGTGAGTTCAGCATTATCTGACTTTTGTTTTCGTCTGGATTTTCTAAGGCGGTCAAACAACCTACGAACACCAGAATGCTTTGCAATGTCCCGAGCAGTTTCACCCTTGCTGTTTTGCAATTTGACATCAGCACCTTCTTTAAGGAGTAGCTTGATGCAAGTTCTATGACCGCTTCTTGCCGAACACATCAAAGCCGTCCAACCAAATTGATCCTTGGCATTTATATCAACTTTTTTGTCCCGAATGATTTCTTGTAATCCACTAAGGTCTCCCTCTTGTGCCATTCTAAGAAATGAATTCACTTGTCTAATGGTACATCTATCAGTCAAATTCCATTTTGTTTTATTGTTTTCAGAAGGCGTATTTACATCCGTTGTTTTCCTTTTAAAACGTTTTTCCACTTCAATATCTGCCTTATTTACTCTCTTAGCATTTCTCACACAAGTTTCGTTTTTTTCCATAAGCAAACTTTCGTAAAATTCCTTGGCTTCAACCCCAGATAAACCTCCGTTATCATTCAATGAGGTATCGCTCTTCTTCACCGCACTAAAGGTCTCCAAATTCGACGAAGCCCGCTGAAATTTTACCGAAGGATACATCAATCCTCCCTTTTTGCGTTTCATTACGATAAGTCGTGTTTGGTAGCCGAGAAACCCTTCAAAATCAAACTTTTCGATATGTTTACAAAAATTCCACTCCTGAAGAAAAGGCCATTTTGTTATCGGAGGAGAGAAGTTGTGAATTCCTTTTGACCGAAGATTGAGATTTCCTTGATTTTCTTCATCAAAAAAGTTAGAATATTGGAGATTGTTTTGCGATATTCTCTTTTTTAAGGAAAATGATAAGATTTCCTGTTGCTTCGTAGACAGGTCGTTCACGTTCGTAATGGTGCTTCCTGTGATGGTGCTAAAAATCAATTCTTTGAAAAGAGGTCGAACGTGGCAGTTATTGAGGCGTCACAATTTGTGTTCATAACCACAGAAATAACCACGACTCATTCTCATACCCAGAGCCCTTCTTAGTTACGCGCCGTCTGTCTAAAGCAATATGGCGGACAATGCCAGTTCAAGGGTGAATATTGACAACATTAAAGTAAAGGTTTTGGGAGAAAAGAAAGGGAGATACGATTTGGATAGTTTGCCAAGGCTAAAATACAAAAAAAGAGATAAACCCAAGTATAAGAGAAGAACGAAAGCAAAAGTCGTTTTAAATTTATACAGTGAACTGAGTGAAGTAAACGAACCCAGCGATTTAGATGTTGAGACTACTGAAAAGGAAGCTATTGTAGCAGGTTGTGATCAAAATATTGACAAAATCGTCCGTGACCACCAAAATACCTATGCTGATGTTACCGACACGCTTGAGGTATTAATTACAACGAGTACTTCACAAACACGTAGTATTTACATGTACAAATGTTCAGCAAACTCCAGGGCAGGCTATATTATCGATCACAAATCAAATAATCAATCCCACATTGCAGAGTTGGCCAACGCCGCACCCGAGATTTTTGATGAGGAAAATTTTAGTGCACTTAGGGTGTGCTTGATAGCAATTTTGATACTTTAATCAGCCTAAAAAACTCTTATTTCCATTGCATTTAACATTTTCAAAGTGTCTATATTACTGCCAGTCGGTCAGTAGTTTTGTGCTTCAAAATTTTTTCACTATTTGATTCATTTTTACGAATGCTTTTAGCGACGGTTGGTTCTCGTGGCGTAGTGGTCATTGTGCTTGCTTCGCATGCGTATGGTCTGGGTTTGAACCCTGTTCAGATATTTTTATTAAGAAAATTTTCAAACTATTTTTTCTGAGTGAATTTCTCATTCTAAACTTAGGTTAGCTTTAGGGTTAGATTTATGGTTAGGGTTAAAATTTGGGATTGGTTTGGGGCTTGTTTTATACAAAAAAGTTCAATATTATAGACTGCCGGTCACTTAGTTTCTTCAAAACATTGTCCAGCTGCCGGTCATATAGACACTTCGTAACATGTTCCCCCTCACTTTACCAGACTGCAAGTTTTATTTTCTTGCAGGAAATTTTAGGGTTATGTTTTGCAACTACGCAGAAATTATAGGAGAACGTACTGAATAAATGAAAAATTATTACATATTGGTACCCAATGTTGGGGAAATACAGTATATTTACCATGTTATTGAAAATTTTTTTAATGCATGTGGTTCTTTATTCTTTCATAAGGATATTTATTAAATATTTTTATAGGATATCACTTCAAGTGATTTATTACACTACTCTCAACCCATGGATACTTCACAAGCAGTTGTTTGTCAAATAAGTCACCAGGATACTTATGTTGTTGAAGTATGTAGATCAAATGCTTTACTACCTGTCAATACAATGCTAACTGCTTTTGTACTTCAAGACTATGATGAGTTATTAAGACAGTTAAAGGTACTGTATTATATTATATAATAATATATATAATATATAAGCAATTGTTGTACAATTGGTTCTTTAGTTAAATGCCTAAAACAGATAAGAAAACATCTCAACATTTTGACCTAAGGGCCTTCGTGTAGGAACTAGTGTGGAAAAGCTGTCATCAATCTATAACATAAACTTGATGTATGATTAAGGTGATTTCCTTACAGTAATATCGTGAAAAGAGGTGCCAGACAAAAGATGTTTGCATGCATTTTTTTAGCCTGTGTGCTCTTTCTGGAAAAAATGGGGTAAAATGGGCAAATCTTCTATAGCATGATTGTGACGTTAATTATATTTCTCTATTTCTAGAGTAAAGATTTTCTTTTAATTCGGAGAAGTTTGCACCATTTCATCAATGGAACTGTGAATTGGGTGTATCAATGTTCATGTAATCCTGCCAGGAGTAAAATAATAAACTCACTTCACATCAGTATTAAAGAACATTACAATCAACGTAAGTGCTTATTTGGTCTGACGTGATTGAAAGTGACCTGAAATTGACTCTAAATACCCTTACAACTTAGTGCCACTTATTAGTATGTAGTTATGAAGTTGTTTGGGTGAAGTGAAAGTTTGATCTCAGGTTTGAACTTCAAACACATCTATTAAATGTTTCATTGGCATGGATTAGTGAAATATAATTTACTTTTTGAAGAGCTCACTTGTTGAACGAATATGAGCAAATAGTTCAGATCCAGGGAATAAAATTATGACAAACCATTATAAACTCTTAACTTTTATCCTATTCAAATATACTCTCATTAAAACATTAATTATTAGCATATACTTTAGGAACTATTAACCATTTTTTTCTTAATTTACTAAATGATAGAACTATTGGCTGACAATCCAGCATGTGTACATTGCTTGGTGACTGAGCGTATTTTAGACAGCCTTGAATGTTTTAATGGCAGTCTTCCATTTCCTATTGATCCAGAAGGTACAGTATATATATAAATATATATATAAAATTATGTTTAAATGTGGCATTGTTAAAGCTAATTCTAGCATATCTATTTTTTAACATTAACTCTGTTTAGAAAGTGACCCTTCATCAATGGACCATGACTATCTTGTGAGTATGGCTTAAATTTCATGCAAATTTACTTATTAAGGCTTTCATTGTTGAGAATTATTGATACAGCTTTGCTAGCATTTTAAATTGGCCTTAACTGGTCACATAATTTTGCTGTTTTGCTAGGTGTCCTTTGTCTATAAATGCTTTTTATTTCGTTCGTCAGGAACATTACCAGTCTTACAACGTTTTCCATTTGCCGTCAGTTGAAGTAGTTTGCGTATATGCTGAGCGTGATTACGGGTTTGTTGGCATAGATCATAAGGGTTTCAAGTGCTCCACATGCAATTATGATACACATGCTTGTAGTCACATCAAATTTCTGGAAGAAAAACTCAGTCAGGATGATGTTGATTTGCCTGACATTGTGTATGAAATGTATCACCAAGCAAAAAAGCAGCGGAAAGTTAATTGGAAACCTTATTGCCTATCCGATAAATCCATACAGTTCCAGCCACCAGTACACCTTCAACAGATATTTGGTAGTTCGTTTTACCAATCCCTACCACAGGAAAATGGAACATTGCATGTTGTCCCACGTAGTAGCGGAGTATGTGAAAGTTGCGGTTCCTACTGGAGTTTGCAAAACCCTGTCGAAGAAAATTGGATAGAGAAACTTCTTCTCCTTTATACAATGAATAAAGTTTATCCGTGCACCAGTATGTATGCTCCCACCCTACTTCACTTTTGTTTGCATACACTGTACATGTATGTTTGTATGTTTGTATGTTTGTATGTTTATTGTATTCAAATCATTTCCGAAGAGAGTGTTTTACGCAAACTTAAGTAGCCAACATGCAACGGCTCTTTTGTTGGTGTAAATTTTATTTTTTAAAA